CTGTGCTGACTCCTTCTGAAGTCCACCACCAGCTCCTTGGTCTTGCCAACGTTCAGCTGGAGGTGGTTGTCCTGGCACCACGATGCCAGATTCTTCACTTCGTCGATGTAGGCCACCTCATCGTTGTTGGAGATGGCACCCAACACCACTACGTCTGTAGTCTATGGGAAAAATCTGGAACCACAGCTATTGCCATCTGGTGGCAGGTTTAAGTCACTTCAGTGTTGGCATAATTTAGAAGCTATATTCATGCTTAGGCTTTCTACACACATACAATAGGTATCTGCAGTACTATCTTTAGCATGTTCAAGTCACCTTTTAGTCAAGACTGGTGCTTCTAATTCTCAACAACTGTATAAATGGTGGAATAATGACGGCAATGCAAGCTGGCCAATTTCAACTTGCAAGTTGCAGCAACTGCCAGCAAACATTCAAGAAGGGTCATTAACTGGACTCTAGGCCTATGTAACTGAATCTTTGGCCATTAATTTCACAGCTGCTGCCATCAAACTCCAGCAACCACTCTCTGATCAGTTGGGGAATATGTATTTTTCCCTTGCAGCCGGTGGTTTCTAGATGTTTGCCAACTGGTTTCTAGGCCTGTGTAACTCGGGCCTTATTCACGTGATGTGACAGCAAAACCTGAACAGAAGTTCATGGAAAACGAGCTGTTTGCTGTCTTCTTCGGGGACCTCTGTAAACATGATAATCATGACTTCCTGTGCTGAGTTCCTTTGAGGTCTAACATGAAGTTTGTTTTGTGAATTATGGTCACTGTTAGAGCTGGGAAGGAGGATTCTCCAGGATATGGGCACTGGCTAAGGATTTGGGAGTTACAAGTCATTAGCCAATGAGCATCCAGTCTCCTCGGCCTCACATCAGATTTCAAAACGCCAAGATGTTGAGTGTGAAAATGCTCTGCTCAAGGCTTCATTAATGGGACACAGTTTGGAGTTTTTTGGTTTTTTTTATAGAGATGAATAATGAAAAAAAATGTAAAGCACCTCAACAGGACCAGTAGAAACAAATAGTGTTTTTTTAGTGGGAAGAGAGTAAAAGTTATATAAAAGATTTGTTGTGCAAAAAGAGCAAACATATAAATGCTTTTATCCAAACGTACCTTGCAGTTATGAAGACTTCCAAATAAAGTGTTGCTAGTTTTCTGATTTCAGAGAATTTTTAGATTTGCGGTTCAACTGGCTGTTTATAGCAGTAAACGATATATTCCCGCAAACTCTTCCATCGCTGAATTTTAATCCCACCACTTCACTTGCAGGACACATGACATCACAGGCGAGAGAACAGATGGCTCAGCACTGAAAAGATTTCAGGAAAACTAAAAAGGAAGAGTAAAGGGGGCGGAAAGGAGGGGACCGAGCTCGAATAAACCCATCTGCTCACAGATGGATGCAGATTTCATTTGGGCCTGTTATGACAGTCTTGTTGCTATTTTTGTCACCGCTCTCCATCTTTCGCAGAAGGTGGGATGGGGGCTAAAAGGAGGGGTTGAGAGGGAGAGGAGTGTACCCAGAGATGTATGAGGAGGTGTCTTGTCTGCTTTCCAGTTGGATTCGGGATCCCAGAATGCAGCTGGCCTTGTTACCATGGCTGATGCAGGCATATTTATTATTGTTTATGTGTGTTATTACCACACAAATCACAATAAGGGCTGACAGCAAAGCTGGAAACTGGTTATTTGTATGGGAAGTTAGCACAATTTAGAAGCCAGTTAAACCCAGCGAGCTGTACTGATATATGGGTTGCTCTGTATACAGAATATTTCTTCGTTATTTAAATTTTACTGATACTTAAAAAGCAATAGTTTAATTACAGTGGGCACTTAAAGCAGTTCAAGTTACTTTTTCCACTACTTCACAACTTAAGTGTTAACGTCTTCCTCACTAGTAATTATCCAGTAATATTAATTAATAAGTCAGTGTGCCAACATTTTGCATTTGATGCTTGAGAAACATTTTAAATCACAAGAACTTTTAGAGGAAAAAAATGTGGTGAAACGTGAAAATGTAATTATACTCAGTGTCACTTGTGTGCAGTTTAATATACAGACTGTAAATTACTTTGCATTTTAGTACTTTGTAGTAAAATGGTATAGACCTCTGGTTTTTCTTACTGTTGTGTGGATGTTACAGCACGGTGCTTATAAAATAATAAGTTTCCTTGCAATGACACAAGGCCTTTGATTTATTTCCTCCTGTTCTCACCCTCTGCAGTCACTCATATTCCTGGGCTGTGTGGCGGCGGCGGGGCTTGGCCTCAACCTTCTGTGTCTGGCCATCTACCTGAGTTGCTTGTGCTGCTGCCGTAAAGAGGAGGAGGAGGAAAGCAAGAAACCTAATTCCTGCTGCGTCACCTGGTCGGCAGTCGCCGCCGGCCTCATCACATGGTGAGAGAATCACGACTCAGACAGCGTGTTATGAATAACCGTGATTACAGTTCGCACACGCTCTCCTCTGCTGTCTGCCGTTCTGTGTTTTCCCATTTTCTTTATTTGTTGTTCTGTATTCCTCATACAGAGCTGTAAGTGCTGTGATTTTTTCACTGCACATTCTCTATTCCCACACTAACTTATTAGTCTGTAGCACGTAGACTCTCTGTGTATTTGTCCACTCTGTTTGTCTTTTTGTCTTCCCATTTATATTCTCTGTGTGTTCGGCGCCTCTCCTTTTGGTCTTCGTAAACACTGTAGGTTCATGCGTCTCTACCATTTGTTCATTTCTAGTGATTTCTAGTTTTGAAAATGTTCCACAGGATTTGAATTTGTGTTGTTGAAAATGGCTCTTTAGGAAACTATGGTCACTATATTTTGAGGCACAATAAAAATTCATCCAACGCTGAGTTCACTCTGGTATTAACAAAATATCCCACTGGCATTTGTGGCTCTCAAGCACTATACCAGTGGTTGATGGAAGCTATCCTGATGTGGGCGTATTGTCAATGTTCTGCTGACAATGTGGAAGTGCAATTGTGCATTACTGGCTAGGGCAGCCAGCTGGGAGACAGCTTTTCTATTATGCAAATTATAATTAAAAAGCAAAAAAAAAAACAACCAAAAACCAAAATGTAGGTGGATCGGTTACTGTACAATAAGCAGAACAATGAGCTGCACATCTTTCATTTATATTTTGGTAGGAAAATAGGGGATAGGTGCATTGATTCACTGAAATGTATGCAAACATGGAAATAAAGTCTATAATAGTTTGTATGTCTGCCATCGGGGCGATCGTGGCTCAAGAGTTGGTAGTTCGCCTTGTAATTGGAAGGTTGCCGGTTCGAGCCCTGGCTTGGACAGTCTCGGTCGTTGTGTCCTTGGGCAAGACACTTCACCCGTTGCCTACTGGTGGTGGTCAGAGGCCCGGTGGTGCCCGGCAGCCTCGCCTCTGTCAGTGCGCCCCAGGGTGGCTGTGGCTACTATGTAGCTGCCATCACCAGTATGTGGATGATTGGATGTGTAAATCACTTTGGGGTCCTTAGGGACTAGTAAAGCGCTATACAAATACAGGCCATTTACCATTTATTCTTCAGCACAGCCTGAACTCTGTTAGGGAAGCTTTCTTTAAGCAGTCTTCATGAATAGTTCTCCAGGCTTCAGACCTTTCAAAGCTCTTCTTTGAATGCAGCCTGTCTTTTGTTATATTCTCTCTCAAGATGATGCTTCAGTAATGTTGACATCCACATTCTGCTGAGGCCAATCTATGACTGATAGTATTCAACTCTGGGATTTTCTGTCCAAGTAGTGTGTTTGGGATCATTGTCATGTGGAAAAAATGACGTTGAGACTTTCCAGATCGTATTGCATGGTAGATCAAAATCTGACCGTACTTTTCTGTTTTCTTAATTTAATCAATTTTGACAAAATCCTCAACACCACTGTCTCAAATGCAACTCCAAACTATGAGAGAGCTTCCACCATCCTTTACAGATTGCTGCACACAGTCAGTGTTGTACATCTGTCCTGGCCATACTGGTGATTTTGGATTCATCTTTCCCTAAGACTTTTTGCAACTGATTTTCAGTGCAATTCTTTTGGCATACCACAGCCCTTTCTCCCCGTTTCCCGTAAGGATGGCTTCTTGGCAGCCATTCTTCCACTGAGACCGTTACTGATCCTCTAGCAAACAAGTAGTTGGATCAACTGTAGGCCTACATGCATCTGTCACTTCCTCTGTCAGGTCTTTGGTGGATATTTTCCCATTTCCTGAGGTCAGAAAGGTCATCTTAGAGTTTCAGATACAGATCCTCTGCTGTGGATAATTTTTTTAGAGCTGCTAATTCTTATTTGTGTTCTTCACTTGCCCAATTTCCATACTGAGAAATGCCAAGTTTTAGGCTTTAAAAACAAACAAAAAACAGGTACAAGCAGTGGAATTAAAATGAACGCAAAAGCAGCCAATGCCCAAAGAAAAACTCAGAGAAAGCCCAGAGAACTACAGCTCGAGACCAGCGTGGAAGCAAAATATAAAGAAATGAGGGAGGATCAAGACACAATACTTCATGATATACACTGCCCATGCAGCCCAAAAGAATGTAGAAATATAGAGGGACAAAACATGACTATAGTATTTTAAAATTTTATTTCAGTTGTATTGTTAAATTATTTATTGGGAAAAAAATGACGCACATGAAGGTCATTCTACCTATCAAAATCCCTTCTGTGTCTCACTGGGAATATGGCAGGAATATCATACTGTAGAGGTCTTGAAAATTACACCAGTCAGTGCTGTTTTAATGACTTCCTAGTTTTCCTGGCTTGCTGAATGACTGAACAGCGTTTCCTCTCGCTTGTACAGGCCCAAGTATCAAACTGTACTGCTGCAGACGTAACCTACTTGTTTTGCTTGTTTAAAAACTTTTTGTTTATGCCACTGGAAGAATAATGCAACCCAGTGCAATGAATTTGTATTTTTCATTAGCACAAATTTTGTGTCACCCTCACATTGTGTGAGTGCCAACCCTAAGTATGGCATTTTATGCAAAAATCACGTATTAAATAAACCACTTAAAATGTGAAAACCATACTATTTTAAGGATAAATGTTTTCTTTTTTGTTATCGTTAAGATGATATCAGACGCAGTATTTCCCCTCAGATTTTATAATGGAGCAGCGTTGCAGTTAATGTGATTTGTTTTGGCTGGAGGCTGCTGCATCTCATCAAGTCTGTGGTGAACTGAAAACTTCCCTGATGTGAAGTGACATTAGCTATGATATATACAATAGATTAATGGCATTAGTGTTATAGCCTTTAGCTGGTATAGGAAGCCTAAAGCAGCTAATTATTTTTGGCAAGATCCAACTTTTCATTCATTAAAGTTTCGGCTTTTGCGACATACTCGAACACGTGAACTTAGGTAACACAGTCAGCACTTACATCACCACATAGAACCCATCAAATCCCTCAATGAGCTCCGCTGTCCTCACAAAGTGGATAATTGAATTACTCGACTATCCACAAAGGAGGGGACAGTCAACCATGTGACAACCATGCTTAGTAACTACCTGATTCAGATGTTACCAACCCATCAGCTTTTATCAGTCTCACACACAGATCCCCAATGAGTGGAGTCCTCTACTTTCAGTGTGGCCCAGTAGTTTGTTATTAACCATTATAATCATTCTAATAAACAGAGATCAACACAAATTATGGTGGCTCCAACCAGCAGTACTGAATAAGGTGACAACTCACTCACCTGGTTGGTTCTCTACTGCCAGTGTCATGTGATTAATTACTGCTGCACGACTATGTCCAAAACGATTATTATGATCATTTTGATTAATATTGCAACCGTGATTATTTGTCCTGATTATTTGTTGATTTTAGTGATGAAATCTTTTGTTAATGCACTTTCACTCACATTCATATTATGTTAAATTCCTGTGTTACAGTAAATTTTAATTGGTTCTCTTTATTCAGCTAATTTCAGTGGACGTCTTAGAAGAAAAATAAAAAGTGGCCCAAAATGTAAAACAAAATTCAATAAACAGTCTACTTATTTTGCTCTTACATTCCAGTTAATTAGAACATCTTTGCCGACAATTTAGTGTTTATTTAGCTTACCTAAATGCATCTCCCAGAAGACAAATATAAAGTATTTCACTGCTCGTAATACCTGCATGTGCTCAGCAGCTCTGTAGCAAAGAATGTGCATCTTTGGTCGAGCAGAATGGAACTATGTTGGTGTTTTTATGAGCTGGATGGATAAGCTGGAGAAGCTGGCTGGGGAGACAGAGGTCTGAGCGTCCTTGCTTAGGATGCTACACCCGCAACCCGGCCCCGGATAAGTGGAAAAAGATGGAGAGATGGAAGGATGGATATGAAAAACAAAAACAAACAAACAAACAAACTACAGTTTGTGGTTATGTTTTCAGATGGCTGAATAAGTTAAGTTGTGTTGTGTTGAGCAGACACAACTCCACAGCAGTCTTGGTTAACACTTGCCTTAAATTGGAATTATTTCCAGGGAAAGGATGCTGATTCATTTCTGCTGCTGTGCCAGACACTTTTATCATATCATATCTTTAAATGTAATGTCACTGTGTTACAATGTCACCCAGAATAGTCAAGGAAACTTAAAGCTGCATGGTGCAGAAACAGCTGGCATGTGTAGGGAGTGCTTGATTTACCTTGTGTTTTATCGGTGAAGAATTCATTTTCACTGTCGCCTGATCATATTAATTTAACTGTGGGAAGCCAGAATCATGGTTAAGCTTATGATATGACTTACTGGGCAGCCCTAAGATTAATGATTAACAGTCAGTGAGTGGCATTGTAAAATCTGAAAAGGAGCACAAGTGGGGAAAAAATGATTAAGTCTTAAACCCACAGTGGATTTAGTGAAATAGATTAGCAATTGGTTTAACAACTGTGCAAAGATTAAATATGTAGTGAACCTTTATACAAAATATAAGAAAGTTATTGGTAGTGATGAAAATTTTTCACCTTCAGTTCATATGGTAACTTTGTTAATATAAACCCCTCATGTGCTGAGTGCGAGAGAAAGTTTAACAGGTAGAACAGCAAATAAAGGGGACACAGCCGATAAGCAGTGAAGTATGAAGAGCAATAGATTCAGAAAATTGATTTTTTTCCCTCCTATTCACAAAAAAATATCTGGTGCTTACAAACCCAGAAGCCCCAAGGTCATGACACATGGTTTGAAACTTTGTCTGGTATCTAGGACGTCAGTTTTAAAGGGCTCTCAAGAACATCTGACAACATGAGCCAATCTGTCGTCACGATGCCAAAAAAACATAGCGGCATGTTCAGTATGTCATTAGATGGAATAGCCTAGAGTTCCTATAGTCCTGGTCCTCTGCTAGTTAGTGCTCTCCACTGTATTTTCACTCTTTTGCATCATACATTTTTAATGTAGAGAGTACTGCTCATT